ACAAAGAACAACTCCCAAACAGTTGGAGTTATGAGTAGCCTAATATTTCACACCAACTACTTCTTACCTGGGATTACAGAAATAGTTTTCAAAGCTCTCAATACTCTGAAAGTTCGAAGAGCTGAAACATTGCCTAGGTTTACAAATTCTGTTAAATACCTGTAGAATTAAATCAGAGTTATTCAGAATTTAGATAGACTCTATGATACTTACCTGTGCCTTTAGTCAAGGTAGTTTCTCTGTTTGTTACTCTTTATTAAACACATAGTTCTATAAGTCTTTTTTTTTTAATTTTAACTAACTTAATCTAATTGGTTTTGCTTTGGCTCCTTTGATGAAAACAAGATGAAACTGTAATATCAACTGCATAACTGCTTAAACAAATTCTTCAATTACAAGCCCAGCAACATTACAGTAATACAGATTTTTAAATTTCTATAAAACATTGAAAACAGGGTGTTAAGAGAAAGAGGTCAGACACTTGCATACTATATGAGTTCATTCATAAGAAGAGGCAAATCCATAAAGAAAAAAAAAAAAAAAAAACAAAGGTGAATGTTTTCCAAGAGTCTGGGAAGAAGGGAATGGAAGTGCCTGCTGATGGGTCCAGATCCAGGGTCATTTGTAAAAATGTCTCCAAATTAGACCATAGTGATGGTTACACATCTGTGAACATACTAAAAATACTATGTGGCACACTTTAAGAGGATGATTTTATGGTTATGAATTGCATCGATAGAAAAAAGAGACTACGAGAAGAGTAATCTGTTTTAGCATAAAGTTTCTAATCGGCAGGAAGCAGATGGAACTACAACATCATATGTGACCCCCAAATAGGAAGTCTGATGAATAAGGAGGTGGTCTCTGGTGAGGGAATCAGAGGCTAGAAATCTTAAGACACTTCTGAATTGCTTAAAGGATTCGAAGAACATAGATTACTTTTATGATTCAAAGTAATAGAAAATACTGTACCTAAGTTTGAGTCTAAAGATAAATAAATGTTTCTGAGAAACACATTTGGGAAGAGTAACAATACAAATAAATTAAAAATATGTCTTGGGCTGGGGATGTGGCTCAAGCAGTAGCATGCTCGCCTGGCATGCGTGGGGTGCTGGGTTCGATCCTCAGCACCACATAAAAATGAAATAAAGATGTTGTGTCCACAGAAAACTAAAAAATAAATATTAAAAATTCTCTCTCTCTGTTTAAAAAATATGTCTTGATGTAATATTTCCCTCAAATATAAACTGTAGATGTATATGGAATGCATATAAAAGGCATTAATATTAGGTCTAGTAAATAGTGACAATTCCCATAAAATACTTTTTTATTTTAAAACATGTATTAGCCCTTTTTAAAATTTTTAGTTGTAGATGGCCTCAATACTTTTATATTATTTATTTTTAATGTGGTGCTGAGGGTCAAACCCAGTGCCTCACATGTGCTAGGTTAGCACTCCACCACTGAGCTACACCCCCAGCCCCCCCATTAGTCCTTGAATAATACAAGTTAATAAAAAGAGCACCATACTTATAAATAACTTGAGGATATTTTTGTACTTCTTACAGATTTTTAAGATTCTTAAGTAAAATCTTGGAAAAAATGCACCTAATTGGCACTGCATAGGTGATTCACTCAAGTGCTAAGCATGAAGCGAGGTGATCAATCTTGACGTCATATATATTTGAATGGGAAATACTCTATCTGAAAAACGTATTATTTACCTATCAACAAGTAACTTTCATACAGCTTCTTGTTCTGTTAACTGCAACCCTTATGTATGCAGGAAAAATCAGACCCCATGGGTTGTTCTTACTGTATTACAGTGCTGTCTGAGATTTTCATGAGTTCGCCATTCCAAAAAAATGAGAGTACTTACGCAAAAATAATGACAATAAAATCCAGCCAGTTCCATGGGTCGCGAAGGAAAGTGAATTCTCCTACACAGAAGCCTCTTGCAAGGATTTTTACAAGTGATTCAAAAGTATATATTCCAGTAAAAGTGTACCTAAACACAGGAACCCATAGGTATATTAGGTGTGAAAAGAATATAGCTTTGTGTAAATCTTTATTACTTATGTCCTCTGATTAACCAAAGACATCTATTGGCAGATGCTCTTTGTTTATGGACCTACTTTCTATTAAAATAAATTGCAATAAAGTTCTTTCCAGAAATTCTTAAAATGTACATATCAGAAACATTTCCAGACAGAGGAGATGCTTGAAATAACCAAGAACATAGGTGTTAGGTCTGTCTAGAAAATTCGTAGGTTCCTCCTATCAAAAATACACTCAAGAACAAGAGATAGATGACATGTTTAAGAACAGGACAAGGGAGCTGATGAGTTTGTTCTTGAAAATATTATATCAAATTATTCTAATCTACTGCTAGTGAGATAATAGCATTGAGAAAAAAATAAATTAAAGAAAAGCAACTATATAGGATGAGGATAAACATCATGATTTTTATGAAGCTAACTTTCTAGAAGTAAAGGAAAGGATGAAAATGATAATGTGAAACTATATTAAAATATATGTCCACTTACTCTACATTTTTGGTCCATTCTGGAGGGCTACTCATGGTCATAAATATGCAGTTTGTCAGAATAGTGCACATGATAAGCATGCTGAATAAGGTAACTTAGAATCAAGGAACACAAGAGACACAATAGGAACTTTGAATACTGGATGATAATACTTGTTGAAATATGAACAACTTTTCCTTAGAAAAGAATCTAAAGGAGCTTATAGTTTTGGTTCTTTCTTTCTTTCTTTTTTCTTTTGGTTTTTTGAAAAATAAATAAAAGTAATATTATAAAAATGCTAATAATGGCATTCTCCTAATCCTGAAATCTACACTGATTTATATTGAAATCCATAAATTAAAACCAGGGTCATTCAAGATGCAAAAGGACGAAAACCTATATTCTAATACAGTAGTAAAAACTTTGCTCTTCAATATCTTTCAAGTATATATTTTGGAAAGGATATGAGTGTACTAAAATCTTAATAGATATTCTTCTCAGACGACTGAAAGGAGACAGTATGTATAAAGCAGGTGCTGCATTGAAACGGAAGATTGCTTTCCCTTTGTTCAATACTATAAAAGTCTGCAGGAGCAAAAAGAAAACAGTATGAAGTTAAGAATGTAAAATTTCAGTATAGCACATGATAACAGCAGTTGGGCTTCACCTGGTAGTGTCATCTTTAAAAAATACTGCCGCTGAACTCAGGCAAGTTGCTTTCAGTGTCACAACACAGCTATCAATATCACCGTGACCAATGAACTCTGATTCTTTTCAATTATATATATAATCATGCATTTCTTAATACTTCCAAAATACTATATTTTCTCTTTTTCATTTATCTCTTCAATAGCAACAATAATTTGTAGCTACTGAAATTAGTTAAAATACAATTTTTGCCAGGCACAGTGGTACATGCCTATAATTCCAAGCTGAGGCAGGAGAATTGCAAGTTCAAAGTCAGCCTCAGTAATTTAGTGAAGCCCTAAACAACTTAGAGAGACACTGTCTCAAAAAAAAAAAAAAAAAATTAAAAGGGCTGTGGCTCAGTGTTTAAACACCCCTAGGTTAAATCCCCAGTAAAATAAATAACTAAACAAACAATTAAATATAACTTCTTTCTCTCCCGTTATACTGCATTTTAATCTAACCAGGCAGAAAGTAGCACCTCTAATTTTAATCATCAAATTTTGAGAATTTTAATACTTTCTGACAATTGTCATGGTTAATAGTAAATGAGTTTTTCCAAAATATATTTTCATAAATTTAAAGAATGTCAGAGTTGGAAGAATCCTTCCAATCATTCAGTTCAATTTCCCTATTTTAATTATAATAATAGTAATGGCTAAAATTAAAACATTATAAGTTAAAAAAAAACCTTTCTTGCCAACCATCCATGGTAATTTTAAAAAATAATAAAAGCAAAAATAAGCTTTCTTAAAATATTATATCCATTGTGTAACGAGTGACATTATCCATCACTTTGGTATGTGAGAAGTGAAAAACAAATGAGAAAATAACTGCTACAGGAAAATATTAAAACAACCCAAGCCATTGCCCTAGAAATCAGAAAGACCAGGTTTAAATCCCTGTCATGGCAGCCAAGTTATTTGTGTCATCTAGAAGGCACTGCCTTAGCCTTCATTATGTTGCTTACAAAATTTATCTTAAGGTTTATCAGTGGGCTTCTGGCCATAAGCATTAACCCAACTGGGGAGATAATTTCATGAATTTGCCCTTTTATTTGTATGTGGCAGCAAGTGCTCAAGAGGCCAATCAGAAACAATTATTTTCACATGCTCTTATTTTCCTGTTCCCTTTCACTACATCAGGTATGTCTAAATGTGACATAAAAATCACTTTCACATTGAATATCAGTTTTAAAATTAATAAGTAGTCCTTGAGTACAACTATTTTTTCTTAAGCAATAATACTCCATGCTTTAAAAAAAAATCCATTCATCCATTCTTTCTACAAATAGAAAGAATGTGAACAATTATATCACAGGTGGTGATGATAAGAGTCCGAGCTAGCATGGAAGTCATAACATAGCTACGTAGCCTTGGCAAGTTCAAGCTACCCTGTTCTCGAAATCTGAAAAATAAAAAAAAGAATGAGTTTTGTGTTTAAAATTTTAAATCAGAAATTTTCATTTGTATTAAACATTTTAATGAAATTTTTTAGTTTATACAATCAGGAAATAATTATGAGCAGGAAAAATAAAGACTGAAATTTGGGGGATCAGTGTGTCATATCCACAAAGGCAGAATATTACACTACTGAACACTTTAAAAAGACTAAAGAAACCAAATTAGCAACACTAAAATCTGGATTAATGAAAAATACATTTCATTAATATATTTTGAACACATATTCTGAACTTACTACATATGTATTTAACTTAATATTTTGATGATGATATGTTTACTAAGTTCAAGGTAACCTCAATTTAAATTTTTGTTTGTTTTTGTACAGAAGGAAGCCAACAGAAACCTGCCATTGATGTCCCAAGAACTCACCTTTTTGTCTGCATAGTATGGATCCAGGTCCTCCAGGGGCTCTGACACCATGCCAGGCGGAATGTCTCCATAAATGAAGGGCAGCTGCTTGCCGGCTTCCAAGTCACTGCTTGGCTTTGGGCCATCCTCCTCCTCATCTTTCTTTTCTTCTTTGGGTTCCTTTGCTTTTTCTTCAGCAATGCGTTGTTCAATGAGGGCAAGGGACTGTTTTGTGAAGTGGACAAAGCTCTGAGGTCCTGGGGGTGGCAACGTTGCCATCTTTTCATCCTGTATATTTTATTTCCCCTTCAGCTCCTTACATAAGAGGCCTGGGTAAAAAGGAAGAAATACCGACTTTGATGTTTTGCTGCCTGGGTAGGCACCTTAAAAAATAACAACAGGCTAGGAGTATAGCTTAGTGGTAAAGCACTTGCCTAGCATAACAATGCTCTGGGTTGGATCCTTAGCACTGCAGAAGAAGTGAGCAGCAAAAACACAGATGGCAGTATGGAGATTCCTCAGGAGACTTGGAATGGAACCACCATTTTGACCCAGTTATCCCACTCCTCAATTTATACCCAAAAGACTCAAAATCAGTATACTACAGTAACACAGCCAAATCAATGTTTATAGCAGCATAATTCACAATAGCTAAACTATGGAACCAACCTAGGTTCCCTTCAACAGATAAATGGTTAAAGAAATTGAGGCATATATACACAATAGAATATTACTCAGTCTTAAAAAAGCATGAAATCATTGCATTTGCTGGTACATGGATGGAACTAGAGAATATCATGCTAAGTGAAATAAGCCAATCCCAAAGAAACAAAGGCCAAATGTTTTCTCTGATATGTGGATGTTAATTCACAGTAAGGATTGGGACTAGGGAAGAATACAGGTACTTTGGATTAGACAGACGGGAGTGAAGGAAGAGAGGGAATATGAGGGTAAGAATGATACTAGAATGAATCAGACATTATTTACCCTATGTGAATATATGATTACACTACCTGTATAACTCTACATCATGTACAACCAGAAGAATGAGAAGTTATACTCTATTTATGTGTTATGTGTCAAAATGCATTCTACTGTCACGTATAACTAATTAGAACAAATGCAAAATAAAAAAAAATTAAAAATCACAATAGGCTGGGTGCAGTGGCAGGCAGATGCCTGTAATCCCAGAGACTCCAGAGGCTGAAGCAGGAGGATCCCAAGTTCAAATCAACCTCAGCAATTTGGCAAGGCCCTGTCTCAAAATAAAACATAGAAATGGCTGGGGATGAGGCTCAGTGGTTAAGTGTCCCTTAACCACTTAGGTTCAATCCTTGGTACAAAAAGAACAAACAAATAAAAAAACACAAACCACAATAGGTAAGATACTCACAGACTTACTATCAAATTGCTTAGTGACCACTATGTACCAGGGAAGGTACAGGACTCATGAAAATGCCTCCTAATGATCTTTATTTAAAAATCTAAAATAAATGCATCACAGCTCTAAAGTAAAATAAAAGAAAACAATTTTCCAAAGATTTTTTTTTTTTCTAAATTCCCTTTACTTTTCACCTGTACTTATCTTTGGTGTGATTCAACTCAATGTTCTTCTTTTAGTCTTTTCACATTGGTTCCGATAGCGACACCCTCCACTTTCTCCTTACCCCTCGAAACCAAAAGTACACTCTCTGTTTCTCTTTTTTTCCTTTATTTTACACACTTATATTTTCTTTCAATAAATAGATATACCTTCTAAAAATCAGAAGGCTATATTTCTATTCTGAGATGTAAACAAAAATATTATGGGAAGAACAAAGAGACAAAAAAATTAGAAAATTTTTGTGATGTAGTCGATATTAAAAATGAAACGCCACTATAATATGCATTCAGACTACAATTGCCCTGATCAATTTACATGACTATAGAAAAAAATTCCAAAATTACAGAAGATAAAATTTAGAAATGAGTTTTTATATGTAATTATGTGTATATGTCTCAAATACAATAGAGTGAAAATGAGAGTTCTCATTTTAAAAAAGCAAGATTCTTTTTTAAAATTTATTCTTGATTGGAGCATTATAATTATACATCATGGTGGGTTTCATCATGTCATATTCACAAATGCACATAGTAATTTGCTCGATCTCCTTCTCCAATATCTCTCCTCCTTCTGGGTCATTTCTTTAATCCACTGATTTTTCTTCTATTACCATTATTTTTATTTGTGCATTATCATTATTGGGATATTCATACATGGACATAGAACAGTTTGGTTCTATGTCTTCATCCCCAGCAATTCCTCTCAATCCCCTTCCAGACTCATTATTTTAATAAGTGAATGTAACTTCATAACCCTCCACTACAAAATAAAAGTGAGTCTTCTTTTTCTGCAGTAACCTTGCTTGAGAAATAGTACACACCAGCTTCTCACATGTCAACCTGTTCTTGGCATGTAAACTGGTTGCATATTAAGTGATATATGGTCACACATAGAAGGAGGATAAATAAAAGGAGCCACATTCTACTCTTTTTTCAGTACTAAATATTAAAATTATGGAAATTGAAGTAGTAACCACAGGGGTTGTATAGATGCAAAAAAAAAAATAGGGTCCAGTTAAAACTCATAGTTCTTTCCCAGGTTTCTCCTATTTCCATGTAAAACAAAATAAACTTCAATTAGAACAAATTAGTGACTTTTTCCTTGAAGTTATTTGGGCACAGAACAAGTATAACAAGGGGTTGTAACAGTAATGGACTGTTACAAAAAATACAGAAAAATAAGGAAAATGCTGGCATTGCAAAGAGACAAGCAGCACTTGGAGAGGTAGAAGAGCAAGGTTTATTCAGCAGAGGTGCAGGCCCAATGGAGTCTTCACCAAATGCTGAGCATAACCCTTCATTCTCAGTATCTTTTCCACAGTACAGACTTCCAGGTTTCAAGACATTCCCATGCAAGTACACTTCATCCCTTCCTCATTCTGCAGACAGCTCGGGTTCCTGTCACAGATGCTGAGCAAGCATATTTACAGAAGAAGAAATCAGCAGGTTGTCGCTCTGTCTTCTGCTTTTTGTTTTTTGGTTGTGTTTGCCCAGGATTTCAGCCCACTCTGGTTCACCCCCAATCCCAAACCCCGGCACCTAGTCACACTGTTTTTCTCTTGGAAGGGGAGAGCATCCTCCTTTAACTGGGATTCTTTGAAAACAAAGATGATTCTGATTAATTCAGCGAAAGTAATTAAATCTGCAGTAACCTGGAGCCAAAAATTCATGCTCAAATAATTGGTTTTTTCCTTTGAAAACTGGAAACTTGAGGAAAGCTGCTCAGGGTTTGGGTGTTCACCAGAAAAGGCTTCTCAAACCACCTGATTTCTTTTTTTTTTTTTTTAATTTTTTTTTTATTGGTTGTTCAAAACATTATAAAGCTCTTGACATATCATATTTCATACATTAGATTCAAGTTGGTTATGAACTCCCAATTTTACCCCAAATACAGATTGCAGAATCACATCGGTTATACATCCACATTTTTACATAATGCCCTATTAGTAACTGTTGTATTCTGCTACCTTTCCTATCCTCTACCATCCCCCCTCCCTCCCCTCCCATCTTCTCTCTCTACCCCATCCACTGTAATTCATATCTCTCCTTGTTTATTTTCCCATTCCCCTCAAACCACCTGATTTCTAACAATTCTGACTTCTTCTCCCTGCCCTATCTTCCACTTTGTAGAGGACCAGCACTAAAAACTAATAGGTAGAAATGATGATATGTGTGTATGTACATGCACTTTTAAGATATTTTCAACTCTCCCCATACATTCTTGAAAAATGATGAAATAGTTTTAAAAAATAACTCTTGAGTTTAGCTTTGTGTCACTACTATTGCTATGTCAGATGTTTTGGCAGGAAAAATTGGTATCAGGCTATCTTAATACTTAGAATTAGGTTTTGAAGTTGATAACCAATATTTAATATATTTGGATTATTTTTTTCCTGTGACTACTATGGTTAGAGAAAACAAAATGGTGTTTCATTTCTCTAACTTCATGGCAATTCTGAGTATAGTCAGCATGGGATGAAATTTAAAAAAAAAAAAATCTCTCCAGAAAAAAAGAAAGGAAGAAATTAATTAATTAATTAATTAGCAGGTTGTAGCTATTAGCAGAGATATAAAGAAACATCTTAGGAAAGAGTTGCCACTTTATTACCAGAAACCTGTGTATCTTAAAAAGCGATGGTAAACCTCTTTAAAAATAAGACAGAAAATTTTGAACATGATTTAAAAAATTTATAGAGAAACTTTTGCTTTTCTGAAAACTGTTGTTTTTATGATCTATAACATGATTGACATTTCATGGTCTATATCATCACATTTCCATCTTTAATCCATCTTTATTTTTATTAAATATTTTTACCAAATATATTATCTGAGTGTGTTACTATTCAGATATTTTTGAACTATGAAAACAAGGAAAAAACAGTTGTCCTCAAGGAATTTCCATTATAAAAAGGGACAACGATCTCACAAATTCATACAGCAAAGACAACTCTGATTTCAGTGTGGTAAAGGAGAATGCTGTTAGCACAGACGTCTTGTTTCTTCTGGTATAGAAAGAGAGACACAGAAATATGCAAATGTCAGGGGAAATGTCATAGGTAATTAGAGGTGGTGAGTCCCTTTGGTTATAACACAAGATTTCATACAGTTCTGATAGAAATTCCTGAAGTCATTTCATTTTCCCTATTCACTTATAAAAAATAGAGAACTATAAGCCTTTGACAGTAGGTAGACATATAGCAAGTTTTCCCAGGAAAGAATATATTGAAAGTGATGTAAAAAATTAATCAATTAATTAATTAATTAATAAAAAACCAAAGTGATGTAATGTAAAGTTTGGTCATACACATCTCTTCTTATGAACCCAAAATTATGGAATTTTATAGTTATGAACAAAGAAGAATAAAGCCATCTATTTTGATGGGTACAAGCAGCTAATAATATTTAGTTTGTGAAAACAAGAGTAGAATATGGCTGATCTTCTGAGAATAGAATTTGGTTAGTTAACTTAGTTAACTAATTTTGTAGTTACTCATTTGCCCCTGGTTTTGAATTGTTTTACTAACATTATTTGCCCTACTATTTCTATGTTTTAATACCCGTAAGAAGAGATGTATATGTGGTTGGAAACTAAATTTAAAATAACTTTTAAGAAGAATGTAATGAGAGCTAAAGGATGTGGCGGAGGTAGAGCACTCATCAGTATATACAAGGCCCTGGGTTGGATCCTTAGTACCAAAAAAATCAATCAATTCACCAAATAAAAAGAATGCAGTGAACAATAAGGGTCTTTGGATGTGCATATTTTAAATAGGATGGTGTTAATGGGTATGGGGTTTCTTTTTGGGGTGATAAAATTAGGTAACTAACTTTGTGAATATACTAAAAACTCTTGAATCATATACTTAAACATGGTGATTTTTGTGTTACGTCCCTCAATTACACCTGGATAAAACTGTTACAAAAACATACTTAAAAATTGATTCATAAATTTTTGAAAATTGTCCTGAAATGAGGGAGGGGTTTAATAAGATAGAGACAAACTAATACAACCACCCATGGGATCTCCATGGGCTAAGTATAAACTTGGGAATCCTTTGGGCTTAAAACTAATCAGGGACTTAAAGTTTCTACCACTTAAAGCTCAAGCTTGGCAGTTTATAAAACTTTGATCACAAATCAGGTGGCTTGATTTCAGAGGTCAATGACCTGTTTGAATTTACACTAGATCAGTCTGAGAAGTAAGGCAGTGAATTCAGGGAGAGCAGTTGCCACTTGCATTTTTGAGATTCCTCAGTAGTTCTGGAAGTCAAAGATGAGGAGGATAAAGTCACTAGCCTCCATAGCCTTTCAGCAAAGAAAGACCTGTGGTCTTGGAGAAAAAAAATGGTTTGAATAACTGGTGTTTTTGAATATTCTGCTATCAAGTGAGAGAGTGTCATCGGTTTCAAGAATTATTGGGGGTACTAGGATTGAACTCAGGAGCACTCAACCACTGAGCTACATCCCCAGCCCATTTTTGTTTTTGTTTTTTAATTTGGAGACAGGTCTCAGTGGCTTAACACATTGCTGTAGCTGAAACTATCTTTGAACTTGTGATCCTCCTGCCTCAGCCTCCCATGACACTGTGATTACAGGCATTCGCCATCGTGCTGTGGTCAAGAATTATTTGACAGAAATTTAGGTAAATAGATATTATCAATAGTCTATCACCAATTCTACTCTTCCAATATTCCTGTTCTCATTTCTCCCTCCTTTTATTCCCTCCATCTTTCTCTTTCTTTTTCTGCTTATGCATTTCTTCAGAACACAGCTCATGAATAGCTAAGCACACATAGACAGTGGATTGGGACATGGAAAAGTGAAGGAAGAGACGAAATATCTACTAACATCATGGCTAAAAGGTAAGTGGAGGAGACATTGATCAGATTCCTGCAGCAGAAGCATCAGTAGCAGCATCTATTCGGACACCTGAAACTTATTTCCATTTTACTAATATAGTGGCTTTTAAGAGAAGCAGCTCTAGATGGCATCTGAGTTTCATTGGAAACAATAGTACAACAAGTCTGGGTGACAGGGTTCTCATGGACCACATAACTAAAAATGTAATCGTGTGCAATTCCAATGCACCCAGAGAAGAGGTCAATGATGAAGAATAACCTACCCACGACTAAAGCTTTTGTTCTCCTTCCTTAGTCGGTTGGATGACTAAACAGCCCACAGGTATTTTGCAGTCATGCATCCAGTTTAAGATTTGAGATTTCTAGGTAGAGTACATATTTAAGGGGGCAAATGAAGCTCAAAAATTATAGTAAAATTGAAGATGAACACTAACATAGTGTAAAAGTAGAGACACCCTTTAAAATATTACCAAAGACACAATCTTTAGAGAAAAGGAATGCTAGATTTTCATCACAATGATTTTTTTTAATGGAAGGCATCTACATAACAGTAAGAAAATACAATGCAAATAATAGAGGGAAATCTTTTTATTTAATTTGTAAAAAGAGATTTCAATGTTAAAGCTAGCAAGAACATGAATAATTATAAAAATACAAATCATTAAAAAACACTGAAACGTGTCAAACTTCACAGGTAATCAAAGAAACAAAAACTAAAATAAACATGGGAAAACAAATTTAGCTTATTAAATGAACAAAGATTTTAAAATTGATGGCCATATTAGAGAGGCTGTGGGGGGAAAGCACTGGCTTTTGCCTAAGAACACATACTGTGTACTACTGTTTTGAAGGTAATTTTGAAATATCTACTGAAAGTCTTAAATATGTTGATTTATTTTCTTTGCTAAACAATTTTCCTTCAAAGAATTTATCCAAAGCAATAACCTCAAGTGTCTTCCAGGATTTATGATGATTACTTTTAATTTAACAAAGTCAATCAGTATTTATTCTTATCATGTTTAAATTAGATTTTTGAAAAAAAAATTACCATATTTCCAGTACATGTTCATTTTACTATGATCATATTTTTGTTAGAACAAGGTCACAATTTTGTCCACCAAGAGTCTACTTTGTGTTTTCATGATTGTTTTACCCACTCACCTTTAATCTCATATTAGTGATACTTAGGCAACTACTGAAAATAAAAAGTGAATGTGTTATCCTGATATATAGGACTTCCTGCGGTTAAAATATTTATCAAAATATTTATTATGGACTTTTTTCTTATTATATAGCTGGTATGTTTGCATGTGATTTTCTCTGTATCTGTTTGTCTATTTAATAATCATCCACCCGTTATCTACAGATTTTCTTCTATCTTTCTAGTCAAAGGCTTCCAGTTCATGATAGGTATCTAGTTCATGACAATGGTCTGAGTCCATGTGTTTATCGTCCCCATCTTCCATATCCTCAAGGCAAAGTGACAAAAGTGACTTATGGTAAGGAATTTCATGATATCATTGAAAATCAAAGAAAGACACTAAATAGTTATACAAATCTGAAGAAAAGAGAGCAGATGAGGTTATGCTAATGAGGAGATCAAGGCAGAAGCCACAGCCTACAACACTTGTCGGGAGGGAGATTAGAACAGAGAAATGAGAGCTGGCACAGGAACAAAGGAAATCAGAAAACAAGTTAATCCAAGGATGTTTATTCAACAATGTTTCTGAACCCCCCACTATATTTAAATACAAAGCAGTGTGATTTACCCCAAAGTATACTAAAAATTTTATCTAAGAATTAGCTGAGCTAGGACTCCTCGGGTGTCTATTGCTATCTTCCCTAAAAGCAAAGTTCAGTGAAAGGTAGACTCTTTTTGCCTACTCCTTGCCCATACATCCTAAAACTGTAACCAGCCTGCTTATCAACACACCAGACACGGACAGAGTTTGCAGTCATTGCCCCCTTTCAAGGGAGAAATTGTTTGGGAATAAACCTATATAAAGGCAGACAGAATATTGGCCAATAGCAATCTATTCTTTTAAACATTAATATTAATACATTATAAAAATGAATTGGTAAGAAGGACTACCAAACATAAAACTGAAAAACCAAGATCAGTGGACCAAATGCTTAACTCTAGAGCAAATAAAAAGTTAGCAAATATTGGGGAATATTAAATGTTAAAGTTAGTATTCCTAGAGATATTTGAGAGGATAGAAAATCCATTATAGAAATCAATAGGCAATCAACAATAACAACAGCACAATCCTGGTAATTAAAAGTATTTCATGGAATAAAAAATAGAAGTCCACATTGCAGCTACATTTTTAGTGGTGTGGGTTTGTACATGTGTAAAAGCGAAGTTCTCTGATTTCGAAGTGTGCCAAAGAAGAATATCCCATAAGTAGAGAAAAGGGGCAAAGTAAAACTTAAAATAAAACTCAGCAGGTAAAGAATAATCCAGAGAACCCAATATCAGTCTCATCTGAATTCCCAAAGGAACAAAAAAATGGAAGATGGGAAATAATAAGAGACATAATAACAGAAAATTAATCAAGAATCTTCAGGCCAAAAAAATGAAAAAAGATTAATTTGTAAGGCCAATTCTTGTAAAAATTTAGAATTAAACATGATTTTGAAAGCTTCCAGAAAGAAGAAGGTAACTACAAAGGAATGAGAATCAGATTGCCATGAAAATTGCTCCGGCAAATATGATGCTAGAACAAAACCAATGATTGTTAACAGACTAAAAGAGAATATTTTGAATCAAATTTTATTTTCTAACTGCCTACTATCAAGCATGACATCAAACAAAACATATTTTATGTATAAAGAGATTCAAAATTTATTTCCTTTTCATGTTTTAAGTTACTTTGGATTTTAAAATATACTTCTATAAGCACATAAAATATAAGAAACATTTTAAATTAGACTATTCAGAATGTAGTGTGAATAAAAGGAAAGGGAATTTGTTTCTTCAAAAAGTACTAATAGCTGTGCAGTATAACAATTATCTAAATAGGAAACAAGTCAAAATGTCACATTTGTTTGATAAACTGGTGGAATTAGAGAACAAAGGGTCCACTTCAGCTTGACATGGTCTTCAAGTAGAAGAATTTAATTTCCCTCTTTGTGTTAAACTATAATACTTGCTTTAAAATGAAAGATATTTGTATAATTATAGTATGATCAAATTTATCCGTTTATGCCAATTACCAAAGTATATATGTATTTTCCAGCTTTTTCAGTGCTGTGACTGAAAAATCTGAGCAGAATTATTGTAAGGGAAGAAAAAAAGTTTATTTGGGGGCTCATGGTTTCAGAGGTCTCAATCCACAGACAGCAGACTACATTCCTTGGGGATTAAGGTGAGACTGAATATCACAAAGGCAGAGTATGGCAGAGGGAAGCAGCTCACATGATGATCAGAAAACAGAAAAACAGTATCTACTTACAAGATACAAATATAGACCCCAAAGCCACGCCCCCAATTCCCACCCTTTCTAGCCATACTCCATCTGCCTTGAGTTACCACTCAGTTAATCCCATCATGGGATTAATTCACTGATTGGGTTAAGGCTTTCACAGCCCAATGTTTTCCCCTCTAAACCCTCTTGTGTTGTCTCACCCATGAGCTTTGGGGGTCACCACACATCCAAAATATAACAATACACAAAATACAAGTGTAACTATATTTGTATTGAACAGGATATGTGTGTTATGTATTGAAAATGCTATTTTTTATATAAAAGTCATGAGCTAGCTGGCATAAATTGAGAGGTAAAAGGGAGAGGAGAAGGGCAAGAAATGTAGGAGAGCTGATATCCTTATTTACATTGAAGGGAATCAGTGTGTTCTAGCCAAAGTTGAGGTAATGGAAAATAGAGTCATATAAGTGCTACTTAAATGTATAAGTCCAACCAATAGATTTAATAGAAATAAAACAAAACTGATGGAAATTTGAGAACAGAATAAAAAAATAAAAGTATTAAGTAAATAAAAGTCCTGATTTTTCAAATTAGGAAGTTAGAAAATATCAAAGCTGATGAAATGAAAATGAGACACAGTGTATTACTTAGAGATATGATGGAAAATATCAGAAAAACTGAAAAAAAAAATGAGAGGGTGAGTGATTCTTCCCTAAAGATTGGCCAGAGGGATGAAGTGAAACCTGTTTGAATTTAATACAATGTGCATTTCTTAATTTTATAAAAATGATAATTACAACAAATTAAAATAAGGTATAAAGGATTGTACCTTTGTATAATTATAGTGTGATCAAATTGTATCCATTTATCATTTTGCAAATATGCCAATCTGCATATTTGTACCTCCCTTGAGACAAAGAACTAATAAACAGATGCTTATGTAGAAACTGACATGTTGCTTTCACTGGGTATGCAAAGTATTGATTGCTCCTATGGATCTCAAACATCACATAATTAGATCCATTATTTTCATCTGTTTGAGGTAAATTGGAGACAGATTGCTATTTATTTTATTATTGTCTCTCTTTTAGGGACCAATGTCACACAAGGTAAAAAATGTATCTTCTTTCTCAGATGAAAACTGAACACTTCATGAGGTGCTACCTGTGGCTGAGGTCTGACAAGTGCATAGTTTTAAACATATCAAACACCTATCATCTGCTACCAATTCTTTGTAGCCAGCTTCTGAATATGCGCATTATGTCATATGCAAAAGTAGAAAGGGTAAGCAGCTCATTTCAATAAAATTGACATATTTTGAACTCTGAATCTATATTAAGGCCTGGTAAAAAAAGAAAAGTTGGAATAAGATGTAAGGACAAATTTTAAAAAGAGCTGGAAGGTGAATAGGAAGATTACAGATAACCAAACAGAAAAATGAGAGAATGACAGAAGAAAAAGAGGATGAAAAAGTGACAAGAACATTTTTGGTCTCTAGCACATGTATAGATATAATCACAAGACAGTGAAAAAGAAAACCAAACTCTTCAATGTGTAAAATTTTTAATTGTGACTATACTTTAAACATTACTCATACTACTCATGTGATTCCAACTCTATGTTCCTTACTCTTTCCCTGTTCATTTGAGGCATGCAATGCCAGTCCTCTGAGTTTCCCCCATACTCACTCATCCCTTATCCTGTCAGCTCCAGTGCAACCTCACACAATCCGTTGCTAAGCAACAAGCAAGGAAAAGAGAGAACTAGTGCAGCTGTAAACTGATCAATCAGGAGATATGTTTAGCTTTTTCAAGCATTTATGTTAAAAATCTGATTTTTGAACTTCAATTTCATTTTGCCTCCATAATTAAAATTGATTAATCACATTCAACTTGAACATATTTTAATTTAAAGTAATATATTATCAGTCTTTTAAACCTGAAACATCCCACATCTATAATAGTAAACAGAGATGTAGTTTAGAACAGTAATTTAAGAGCAGGTTCTTGATCCAGGAAATGTGGGGTTTGCATCATGGGCTTGCCACTTATTAGCTCTGTGACCTTGTGAGACCAGGCAAAGGACAGGTAGCTGATTATCAAAGAAAAGAAAATGGGTAAATAGCACTTCCCCATCAACCTGTTGCTAACAGCCTCCAGGGTTGGGAAAGGATCCCACTTTCTAACACAAGCAATAAACCCCTGGATGGCTCTCTTCCTGTCTTTTGGTCATGTAGGCATGAGAAGAAAGGAAACTTAAGATTTATAAAGGAGCAAGACACCCCCACTCCCTTGGGCACCAGCTCTGTGGGTTCCCTTCTCTACAGAGTCTCTCATCTCTCTAGATTGGTATCACTTGGATGTCCCAATTACACAATTCCTAAGTCTAAAATAGTGGAAGCACTTAGAATAGTTGCATTTACTTTTTTTTTTTTTTTTTTTTTTTTTTTTTTGGTACCAGGGATTGAACTCGAGGCCATTTAACCACTGAACCACATCTCCAGCACTATTTGTATTTTATTTAGAGTTGCTTAGTGCCTGGCTTTTGCTGAGGCTGGTTTGAACTTTCGATCTTCCTGCCTCAGTCTCCCTAGCTTCTGGGATTACAGCTATGCATCACCATGCCTGGCCTTCCAGGTCCTTTCAACATGGAATGTTAGGCACTACAAAAATATCCCTAAAATGAATGTTGATTGCTCATCTTAGCTTGCTGCTACACTTCCACTATTCAAGTAAATTCACATTATTTTACCTTTGTTGTTTTGAACTACATGTGAAGATCTGTGAAATATTTTTTTAACAGACAAAGTTATGTAGTTCAGAAAAGATCATTAAGACTTTAGACTCTTTTATTTTTAATTAAATCAATATTTATGAACAGACTTGAAAGGAAATGAATTCCAACACTTGGTTCATCTTCTGAGAAGCATTTAAGTAATATTAACAGAGTCTTTGAGCAAAGGACAGGAATGATCTTTTCCTTCAAGCAGAGAAACATCACAAGTCTCTTGAGAGTTTCAAGGACTCTGGTGCCTGGTATGGCTCTGAACATATTGTTCTGGAAAGGGTATTCTTGGAGTCCAGAGCGTGAGGAGGGAGTGGATTCCCCTAGAGGTTTACAGTACACATTGTGAATCTCCCTGAAATCACAGCAGTGAACCCAATGCCAGTTCTTCCTAAATGAAGGGGAGGAATGTGAACTGTGCCCATCATCAAAGGCTAGAAAAAGCCTTAGTGGCCTCAATTACCTCCTTTGCCACATAGTAGGTGCCTCACCTTGGAACTGTACTGCAGTTTCCAAAGGACGTCTTAACATCAGAGTCACAACTCTACTGTACTGCTAATAGGGTATGTGCATATTTTTTTCAAGTGAATTTGCAGTTTGAGTGTGCTTTTGTAATGCCTCTTATCAGCATACTTTGTATTATATATGAAAATCTGATTCTGAATGGAGTAATTATTTTAAAAATATCTGAAACATTTTATTTTATAGCTTTCAACATTGCTTTTAGAAAGCAAGTCATGTTTGAAGTTCTTATTTCTTTTAACTATGACTAGAGGTACTAAGATATGATATTTTCTTAAGGAGAAGGAAAGTTATCAACTCACAATTGAATAATAATCTCAAACTGTTTTGCATGACATCACTGAGACTCCTCTCTGTAGTAACTTAAATTCTAATCATAAAAAAATAAAATTGGGGTTGGGTGTGGTAGCACATACCTATAATCCCAGCTACTTGGGAGGCTAAGGCAGGAGGATTGTAAATGCAAGGCCAGTTTGCCACTTATTGAGAAACTGTCTCAAAAAATTTTTAATTAAAATTAGTCCAATAGCAGTTGGGGTTATGGCTCAGTGGTAGAGTGCTCACCTTACACGTGCAAGGCTCTGGGTTTGATCCTCAGCACCACATAAAAATGAATAAGTGAAATAAAAGTATTGTGTCCAACTACAACTAAAAAATAAATATTTTTTTTAAAAACATTGGTCCAATAATCTATCTTGAATATCTGCCAAAATTCAAATAAAAGATATAAAAGTTTAAAGAAAAATTCACAGAGGTAGAATTACAGTAACATTACATGAAGTTAAGAATTCTTATGAATTTATCAAGTAAATATATTATCTTTATCTAAAATATACCTAAGTGACAATATATTTACAAATTTGAACTACTTTTAATTAAAATGGGTTGTAATTAATATGCACACATTTATATTTATACAGTATAAAATATCATTGTTTTGATCAATAAGAGGTCATTAGAAAAATGCTGATCAATTTCTTCAAGTCATTATGCCTGGGAGCATAATTTTCTATAAGTGCAGTTGCCTGGGTCAGGAATAAGGTTACAGTTTATAAACCTAGAACTAAACTGGAGTCACAATGTCTGAGTCCTCATTATATTTGAGAGCTATTATGACTCAGTAGACTAAAAAATACAATATAAGGCATTCTGTGCATCTTTTCTCTTAGAATATGGACAGTTTCATTTACATGATACCGTTAAGACTACTAAATATGTTTTTAAGTTTCCAAGTGATAGTTTTATTATATATCCATCTTAAGGATACTGTTTAGGTTATAAAAGGCTCTCTTCTGGTTTGTTTGTTATGATGGGAATTATGGGGTAACACAGCAATGAAAGATGTCAATGAAAGATGAAATTGTCATTTTTTTTTTGAAATTGTCATTTTAATGACATCCAAACACCTGCTATCATCATCAGAACAAGACAAGACAGTTTCATCCTGATTATCAAGGATATACTTAACCATGACTTTTATTTTTATTTTTTTTATTTTTGGTACCAGGGATCGAACTCAGGGATGCTTAACTGTTGGAAGCCATCTGTGAAATACATGGGAACTTCTCTGGGCATGGAAGCCAGGGAGAGAATAGGTCTGGCATTAGGAACATCCTGTGCCTCTCCCGTGGTGACAGAACACCCAATACATGTGAACTTCCCCTCTGCTGTGCTAGAAAAGTCCATCATAGTAGCACCAGAGATGGCCATAACCATTAGGAACTGAGCAGCCTACCTGCCTCCACCTTTATCCTATTTTGGAGAAGAATAGTCTATAGAATTTCTTTGATGTCTCCCTATATAAATAAATAAACTTTGTGTTAAGAAGCTCGATCCATATGGTCAGTTTGTCTATCCTGTCCCCACTTTGAAACTACCTTCTGTGTTCTGTGGTGTTTTCACTCTTCTATTTTTCCTAGCTTTTATTTCTCAGCCCATTCTACCAAAAGGAACCCATTCCCACTGCGCACATGGGACTTGGGTGGTACTTAACCACTGAGCCATATGCCCAGCTCTTTTTTTACATTTTGTTTTGAGACAGGGTCTCACTAAGTTTCTTAGGACCTTGCTAAATTTCTGAGGCTGGCTTCATGATCCTCCTGCCTCTGTCTCTCAAGCTGCTGGCATTACAGGTGTACACCATCACACTGAGCTTAATCATGACTTTTAAATAATATTATTGTTTGGATATTAGGTGTCCTCTCCAAAGCTTATGTATTAGACAATGCAAGAATATTTAGAGGTGAAATGATTAGATATGATAGCTGAAACCTAATCATTGGATTGATTAATCCAACGATTAATAGATTAATATTTGGAATGAATTACTGGGCAGTAACTGTAGGCAGGTTGAGTGTGGTTGGAGAAGTAGGTCAGAGGGTGTGTGATCTTGGGGAATATATTTTGTCCCTGGATCCTTGCTTTTACTCTCTGCTTGTTGGCCTTCATGAACTGGGCAGTTTCCTCTACCATACCCTTCTGCCATCATGCTCTGTCTCACCTTAATCCCAGAGCGATGGAATTGACCCACCATATACTGAACCTCTAAAACCATGGGGTCAAGTAAAGTTTTGCTCCTCTCAGTCATTCTTATCAGGCATTTTGATTGTACTGATGGAAACAGACTAACATAACCATAAAAGACCCTGCTGTTACCAAAACTTTTTAAAAATCTTCTCCTATGTTCAGTGTTATCCCCTTCATACTCTCTCTACTCATAGGATCTAAATTTAATAATAAAAAAGAAAGACATCGTCAAGGAAAATGAAGAGGTGATGTTTCCTTACAGTACAAACTCTTAGGATGTAAGTTCTCTTCCATGAGAACTGAAAAATTTTCAGATGGGACCTGGATGTTCTTCTACACGTACTGGAACCAAAGGACTTGCATACTGAGCCTCACTATGTGAGCAGAATGTCAAGTTTATAAAAATCCTACATGTCAATAACAAGCAAGATATAATTGGAACATTCAATAACAATAGTTTAGTCACTGAACAGCTCTAGAGTTATGATAAGAGTATAAAACATGCTATAGGATTGAATATGGAGAATACAAGGAAAAATTAGTAAAGTAGATGAGGTTTGAGTCTAGTCCTATCTGCTCTCTAACTGTAATTAAAGTATGTCTCTACTGTTCCCATTTTACTAATCTGAGAACTGATCACATTGATGTAGGACAGATGAGGCTGGACACTGAAGGAATTGCAGGAAGCTGGTTTATTTTAGCTTCAGTGGTCCAGAGGGGACTAATGCCTAAAATATCTCTGGGCCCTGAGGTTGGAGTTTCTTTGAACTTTATACTCAGTGGGAGGGAGTTTATAATTTTTGTGGGAGTTTACATCAAGTACTTTTTGAGCCATTTTCTTTGATTGCACTAAGGTTTTCATAAGTTTTTACCAGTAAAACAGATGGTAATTTCTGTACAGCATCAAGCTTATGGCAAACTTAGTTTTGACAAGACAGATAAACTTGGCCCTTATAGACAATAGGAAGCTTTAAACCACATTGAGATCTCTGCAGAACTCTTGGCTGATATCCCATTGATAAGAACAATTACGGTGAGGGTCTTTGGAGAAGCTTAATTATGACCCTTTGGTGGAGAGAGGAAGGCACTACAACATCTTTGGAGGAAGGACATAGACTACTCTACCTTGGCTGTCAGGATTATACTTATGAAATTTATTTCATCTTTGGCAGGATAACCAAAGTATTGATGCTCCAAATCAGGATTTTTTGTTTGTTTGTTTGTTTTGTCAAGAGTAAATGTTCATTACATAAGACTTTAAAGACAGCAGGCATAAGGTGAAACTGTTCTGGGAAAGCTTAGAAATAATGCTCATCTTACTTTTGAGAGCTCCTTTGAGAAATTGCCAAGTAAGACCTAAGGTCCTGGCATTGCCACTCAATGCTTTTCTTTTTAATGGAAGCATTTTAGACTAAGCATCTTGATCATTTTTCTCTAACAGTTACCACATGTTTCTCTGAAACAGAGATTTAGTGGCTGAACAGTCATGCCAACACAAACAAAAAACTCATACTTGAATCACTACTGCTTGGAAATCCTGTACCTTACACAAATGGTATCCAAACGGAATTTAGAGACTGAGACCATTCAAATCACTGAAGATTCTTAATTTCAGGCTGAAGACTGGAAGCAGTATGGGTTATGTCCAAATACTGCTTAACATTGCATTTAATATGCAGTGAAGGGTCTGGGAAAACCACTCACCAATATTGAAATTTTCTGCCTTGGTATTTTCCATCTACTCCATAGAGGGAGGCAGCTGTAATCTTGGCAGATCCTATTATATACTCAAGTTTACTCAAGAGTGCTGAAATGATATACCTTTTCATATTAACAATTGTTTTATCTCTAATGTTTTATCTTATACTTTGTCTAGTCTAGAATCTGTAAAACTAATGGTCACAATTCATTGAACTTAATGATATAGATAATGACTATATTACTTGTTTTGTTATTTGAAATATAAAAATTAATGAAAATTTCCACATGTGAGGATGGAGTAAGGAGATGAATTAAACTGGTTCTTATGAATCTATATACGAATTATTCATTTCCCCAATATAATACCTCAATCTGCTTTTATCTTTTATATAACTTCTTATAATTTCATCAGAAGTGAACAACCAAATACAGTATAATGCTATATACAAAATAACTGCCTGTCTTCACGGAGGATTTATCCAGTCCATGTCACTAGACAGCTAGTGTCAGTCAGGGTAACTCTTTCCATTTCCCTTGGCCTCAATGATCTCTAGTCATCCTTCATCAGTACTGTAAGGAGCAATCCCTGACAAGAGTGTTAGGAACCCTAATCCATATCACTGTGTTAGTTTGGCAGCTTTTCATCACTGTAATAAGAATACCTTAGAAAATCAACTTAAAGGAGGAAATATTTATTTTGGCTCATGATTTCAGAGGTTCCAGTCCATGGGCACTTGGACTCATCATTTTGGGTCTTTGGCAAAACAGAACATCAAGGCAAGAAGCATGTGATAGAGTAAAGCTGCTTACCTTGGGCCAGCCAGGAAACAGTGAGGAAGAGGGACAAGATAAACCCTTCCAGCGCAGGCTCCCATGACATACTTTTGCTTAGTAGGCCCAATTTCCTACAGCTTTCATCACCTACCAATAGTCCATTCAACTAGGAACTCATCAATGGATTAATTCACTAGTTAATGATGGTAAGAGCCCTTATGATCCAATCACTTTCCCAAAGCCTCACTCTGAATAACGATGCATTGAAGATCAAGCCTTCAACACAGGAGTCTTTGCAGGACAATCCAGATCCAAAATGCAACAGTCACCATTTAACTACAGTCCATAAATACATTAACTTAATACATTTACTTAACCAATTATTAGATTTTTTTATTACTAGGAAGAATATTCTTAGCTTGTAATTGTGCTTGTAGCAAAGTAGACTTATCATTTGATTTTTGTAGTCTTTGTGGTCACTGACAATCCAGAATAACAGAGGGTATGAGCATATTCTAGAATGAGGGAATTCTGTTAGCCCAGTACTGGTTACATGGTTTGTTTCATTTGTGAAAAATTCATTGGTCTGCATGTTTAGGAAATATGCATTTTTCTATCTGTATATTATACTTTACCAAAGTTAAAAAGATGAATATGGGATTTGTTTTAGTCAGCTTTTTTCACTGTTGTGACTAAATGACCCTACAGCACAACCTTAGAAGAGGAAAAGCTTATTTTGGGGCTCACAGTTTCAGAGATCTCAGTCCAGAGTCAACAGGCTCCATCCCTTGGGGCTCAAGGTGAGGAAGGGCATCATGGTGGAAAAATGTGGCAGAAAGAAGCAGCTCATATGATGTTCAAGCAGCAGATAGAGAATCCACTTTCCACATACAAAATATACACCCTATAGCCACACCCCCAATGAACCACTTCCTTCAGCCACTCCCCCCACCTGCCTCCAGTTACCATTCCAGTAATTCCATCAAGGATTAATTAACTGATTATGTTAGCTTTTGGGGGATACCACATCTAAACCATAACAGGATTTAATTAAAATAAACTTTTCAAAAAGAAGTCATTATTGTGCTAAAATAGACACTAAAGCAAATTCTTTAGGCAGAAAGTAAAGATCTTAAACACAAGATGGAAATGCCTCAAGAAATGAAGAACATTAGGCTGGGTAAGTATCTGAGAAAATGCAAGAAATTTTACTCTACAAAGGTGAAAAAATTACTAAACAAGGAATAATGATTGTTTTATGGATTTTAAAAACTGAGCAGAATAAAATGCATAGGTTCTAGTTTGTAATTTGCTTGAATGCTTTATCATTATTCATATATACAAATATACAGGTAATTTTGTGTAGATTTCTCTTTGACTTATTTCAACTTTCAATAATTTCAGTCTATAACATTTGAGTGGTTTTATTGCTCAAGTAATTGCTTTCAAGCTTTTAAAAAACAGTAGATGGATTTTTTCTATGTAGAACATACTCTTCATGAATTCCCTTAATATATAATATAGTATAAACATTCCTTTTTTTGAAATAGCTTTATTTTGTAAGCCCTTTTAATAACTGAAGAATAATTAGGAAATGGTTTTAAAAGAGCAGCCATCAGTTAAATTATTTTTATTATTGTTAGTTTTATTGAATGTATTTTAAATTACTATAATAATAGCCTTCTAGTAAAACTAACAAAAATATACTTGGAGGATTTTTCTTCATTAAAATATAAAAGATTACACAGAAAGACCTAAATATTTACAGATTCTTAATGTTCAAATTGCTAAAGCAAAATGAAAGTAATTTTTATTTTAAGAGCAGTACCCCTGCCCAAGCCAGGCGTGGTGGCACACACCTGTAATCTCAGCCACTAGGGAAGCTGATGCAGGAGGATGGCAAGGTTGAGACCAGCCTGGGTAACTTAGCGAGAACTTATCTCAAAATTTAAAACATGCATAGGGCTTGGGAATGTAGTTCAGTGATAGAGTGCTTGTCTAGCACATCCTGGGTTCAATCCCCAATATTAAAAAAAGGAAAGAAGGAGGAGGAGGAGGAGGAGGAGGAGGAGGAGGAGGAGGAAGAAAGGAGAGGAGAAGAAAGGAGAGGAGAGGAGGAAGAGGAGGAGGAAGAAGAAGAGGAGGAGGATGAAAGAGAGAAAAGAAAAGATCCCCACTTCAGCAGGTTATACAAATAATGGCTACATGTATGCACTGGTATGATACAGATATTCCTTTAACATTTGCTCCATTTTATTTCCTCTTCAACAAAAAATTTTTAAAATGAATTTTTATTATGTATATTTAAGGTATAAAGCAGGATATTGTGGGATACATATAGATAGTAAAAAAGTAGCTATGAAACAAAGTAACATATCCACCATTTTAAATAGTTGCCATTTTTGTATGTGTAAGGCAAGAGGAGCAAATATTTTTAAAGTGACTGCTACGGGCCAAGTGCTGGAGACTGAATACAAACTAGGCTTTCTTGATCCTTGTCCCTTGGCACTCACAGTCTACTGGGGAATATGGGCAGGTAAACAATTGCAATGCAGTCATCATATGGGAACAATGAGAACACTGAGAAAAGGCAGCTGAACTGTAGCTGCCTTTAGGTAGAAAGATTTTGATCAGGGAGGAGGGATGAATAGAAACTAGCTGATCTGTGCTGTGACTTTTCAAATCTTCCTTCTTATAACTCTTCATTCATGAAACTGTTAAGTGTTTGCTTTGGTCCAGGACTTTCACCTTCAGGTTCATCTCCAGTCTGATTGCCCTCACTCTTTTCAGTTTTTCAAACAGAAAATAATCTTTGGCTTTGTCCTTCCATGGAATTTGAAATGTATCATCATGAATACTTTAGATTCTATTTCTGAATTTTTATAATCTCAGACACTGCTGACTTAAAAAATTGCACAAATCTTAACCTTCCTTATAAATATTAAATTATAATTTAGCTGATTTGCAGAAAATATCAACAGAAGTTCTTGCCTTCTACAGATTGTTTTTAATCTCAGATTTAAAGGTTAAAACTTGCAGCTCGTGGCTGCATTGTTAATGTGCAAAGTCCACATTATATTTTCTTCAACACCATTCTTCAATATGCATTCTCTGTCACTTTGCCCTTCCCAGTCCCATTCATAGACAATCATTCTAATGTGCTTGCGGTATATCCTTTGTTTTCTTGAAAATTGAGTACTTTCTCAGATTCGTGTCTCTAATTTATATAACATTTTCATTCTGCATCTCTTTTCTTTTTTCTTTTTCCTCTCACTATAGTTTTATCTACGTATAGTATCCATATTGCTATAAGTTCATACAATCTGTATTTCTAACCACTTCATTATGCTCTAATATACATCATCAGACATTTTACCTATCTGAATTCAGTGGGAAAACCTGGCTACCATCTATAACCCAAGACACATCTAGGTTCATGGGTCTGTAGTTTACATAATGGAGATACATGAAAAATACAAATTAGACATAAAACACTAGCACAATTAGAGACAAAATGGAATATTTATTAAACATGAGAACATAAATTAAATGATTTTCCCATTTAAAATAAAACACTAACCAATACCACAAATTTCCAAATTGTATTAATTACTCCCTGATGTATTTCTTTAATCCCCAAGAATATTCCCATTTTTGTCTTTATTATCTTTGATTGATTATCTCCTCCCAGGACAACAATTTATTGGTGGAGGGAATAGAGACAGTTCAGTATTTAGCGTGATTAACTGTAGTGTGTGCATGTCTATCCCTGACCGTAGAGCAGATTCCTTTAAGTTTCCTAGCTTCCTATTTGGTAATGCTTTAAAAATTTTTAGTATTACTGTTAAATTGGGGAAAACCCAGAGCAAGTTCCTTTCAAGTACAGTGTCTTCATTCAGAGGCCAAACTTAAGTACTCGTGAGTTAATAACACTCCTTAACCACTTTGCCCTCAGTATCTTGTAGTGATGTAGGATCATTTCTGTGTCATCTGGATGTGAGTATTTCATGGCAAATAACAATAAATTTCAACCTTTCATTCAGTATTTTTGGGGGGAGGGAGATATTTCATCAAAGTTTTAAATCTTTTTCTTTCCCAACATATTCATGTGATTTATTCTTCTTCAATAAGCTTATTAAGTAATCCAGGAACTTATACAATACTTCCCCTCTTCTTAGTGAAATACCGTCCTCACTTATGCTTCTGTTTGACGAAACATGTTATATATTTCTCTGTTCATTGTTAGTATGATTTCTATAGACTTAGTTGCTTTTATTTATAACTTTTGTTTCATATCACCCTATTTTTCTCTGGCTAGTTTAATAAAAAAGTTAAAATGGCACAGAAAGTACTATACAAAATATTCTTTTCATATTTCCAAATTTCAGTTAACCTGACATTTTATATTTGAGCTTCAATATACTTATAGACAAACTGGTGTCTTTTTTTTGTTTGTTTGTTTTTTGTACCAAGGATTGAACCCAGGGACACTTAATCACTGAACCACATCCCCTGTCCATGTTTATATTTTATTAGAGACAGGATCTCTCTGAGTTGCTTAGGGCCTTTCTAAGTTGCTAAGACTGGGTTTGAACTCAAGATCCTCCTGCCTCAGCCTCCTGAGTTGCTGGGATTGCAGGCATGTGCCACTGTTCTCCACTCTAGACAAATATCTTAAACCTTGTTTGTATTTAAGTTTCTTAATGGTTTTTTTTGAAAATATAATTTAGAATTTCATTGTATCTATTTTGTGTAGCTTTAGTTTTATGTAGTCAGAGAACACAAGGAAAATTTCAAGTCAGTATGTGTGTTTAAAATAGCCCATGTATGAAATACAATGAAGATAAAAACATATGTCAGTATTTTTTTAAATTTTTTTTTAGTTTTCGGCGGACACAACATCTTTGTTTGTATGTGGTGCTCAGGATCGAACCTGGGCCGCACGCATGCCAGGCGAGCGCGCTACCGCTTGAGCCACATCCCCAGCCCCATATGTCAGTATTGACAATACCTAATTACTCAGTTTTAGATAGTGAAGAGGCAGTTCCCCCTGCCTGCTGTGGCAAAGTTAAAGAAAAGAGCAGCACATAGTGCATATTATATATTTTTATTCTCTCTCTCTCTCTCTCTCTCTCTCTATATATATATATATATATATATAATATGACCATAATGAGTTTATATATATGAGACCATAATAAGTTTATATATATAAACTTGTATTATTATTAATATAATAAGTTTATATATAAATAATAATAAGTTTATATAGATTATTTATATATATGTATATAAACTTATTATGATCTGACATATATATGTATATACATATATATGTGAGACCATATACATACATATATATGTGAGACCATAATAAGTTTATATAGATCTGACTGCAAGCAACATAAATGAGTCCACTGAACTCAAGTTTCATGTGTATTCAACTCAGATTCTCTGGTTACAAACCAGATATGCCCATGGTTATTTCTATACTCATTTTCAGTAGGGAAATTAGGGTAATGGTTAAAATAGCTTACTTTTATAACTCATTCCCCCCCCCAAAAAAAATATATAACCACATGAACCCATTCCTATGGCTTCTTCTAGCCAAGATCTTATTACCTCTTAAGTAAACCAACTTCTGTCACCACCATGAATGATGGTGCACATGTCCCTTTTTTTGGAGCTGTGCAAGAATTTCTTGGCAATCTACATTTGGGAGCATGATTTTCTGATCCTAGGAAACACATACTTAACTGGTCTCTCTAGAATGAGTGTAGTTTATTTTATTTCACCTGCAGTGCATAAACATTCTGGAATCTTCTACCAACACTTGCCAATATTCAGTTTTCTAGCTTTTGCCAGACTAAGTAGTAAAAGAAATACAAAAATTATAGTATTATCAAAATTAGCCTTTCTCTAGTCAATAATGATACTGAACAATTCTTTGTATGTCTGTTAGCTTTCTCATTTTCTTTCTGGTATAAATTGTTATTTTTTCCCCATTTTAAATTTTTTAATTTATTATTTCTTTGAACCCAGGGGCACTCTACTACTGAACTATACCTTCAACACTTTGTATTATTATTATGATGATGATGATGATGACAGTGTCTTGCTAAATTCCCAGGTTGGACTTCAACTTGCAATCCTCCTTACTCTGCCTCCCAAGTAACTGGATTACAGGTGTATATACTACTGTATCAAACTCCTTTTCCCCATTTTAAAATTATAATTGCATCTTTAAGTGGT